AGGTACCAGACAATTTGGGACAGCCCCTGTACCCCAGAGCCTGCTGAAACTATTCAAACTAGCCAATCCTGAGTATGCTTACCCTGCCTTGCACATGGAACCACAATAAGGGCTCACGCCCATGCCTTCCCCTTGCTCCTTCTGCCTCCTGACCAACCCTGATGCTTACCTGTGAGTCCCTGTGTGGCAAGGTGTGCCCTCTCCTCTTGGGAACTGTAACACTATCTTTTTCAACAGCAGTAGTTTCCTGCTCACCATACCTGAATAAGAACAAAACCTACATTTTAAAAACAACTGTTAAAACAATTCCAGGGACCAGAAGTTCATTTCTTTGCAAGGCAGCAATTTCAGTAGTGAACTAAGTAGGAAAGTTCTTTTCCATCTTAAACTAAAGTCTGCTTCCCTGTACCTTCTAATAATTCTTCCTCCAGGGCAATAGAGAATAAATCTACCCATTTTTTTTTCAAGTGATGAACCATCAGATATCTGAAACACATCTATGACTGTCTTTCCTGAAATACATTTGTGAGAATCACACACATGAATCTACAGATTTTTTTTTTTGGCTTTATTTCTAGTCAACTTCTTCAAATGATTAGCATTTCACAAGTCATACCAGCTTCAATAGCCCAGTGGGTTGAATACATTCTTCCAGCATTCCCAGTGTCAAGGACCAATTCATTCATTCATGCATGGATTAATTAAGCAGCTTCTCAGCAGCCTGGTAGCCTTTGCTGGTTTATCACTGCCCTTGATTTCAAGTGCAGTGTCTGCTGGAACTGGTCTACTCCACATGTGGCTTCATTAGCACTTACTTGCCTCGGTCTGGGGACCCAGTTTGTAGTGGTACCAGGCATGGCATAGACTAAAATTTCTGAATCCTTTAAGATGAATTGCCATGAAACACTTTTTATCCTGTACTTAAGTAATCATGTTGTGATTCTACTGCAGTCTTTTAGATTTCTAAATGTGAATGTAAAATTCCCCCATTCTCTAGTGTACAGGGCTTCCTCCAGAGTCATGTGCTTTCCTCTTGTTTAAAATTCTTTTCCCCAAAATAGTATGTTTATTGTAAAAAAATTATCAGATAAATTTGCAGTGAAAGAGCTAGATCCCTGTAATCTATTCCCAAGATATGGTATTTTTGATGTATATATTACATCATATTTTTTCTATACATAAGGCTCTAGTTTTCTGGGTTTTGTTTTTTTTTTTGGTTGTTCTATGCTTGCAGGACCAGGGATTGAACCCCAGCCCCGGCAGTGAAAGCACTGGGTCCTACCCACTGGACCCTGAATCAGATTATACACACAAATGTTTCGCAACTTTTTTTTCATTTATCAATATATCTTGGGTATTGTAGAGCCATACTTACGAATGAATTACTATTAATAGAGTTCCTTGAGGCCAGGGACTATTGTGTTTAAGTATTTATGAAACACAGCACATAAATGATTCAATTTTTGAATGACTACATTGTAATGATTCCTACGGAACTACAGATTACACATTTCAGCCAATACTGGGACAATTTTTCCTTTAAATTTCTATAGAAGTCTTGGGTGGTGTGTGATTCATTTATATTGCTAATTATATCTAACGTTGTGTTTATACTCATTATTTAAATAATTTTGTCTCAGTTTTTTTAAGAGCAAGTTGAAAGGGAGTCTCATATCCTATTGCACGAGTTTAATTGATTCTATTGTTTCCACTCATTCACTGCATGCAGTCTAGTTAGCTCCCAAAAGTATTTCCCTGCCAGGTTGCATAAACAATGCAAATTAATGTAAGTGGTAGTTGATTATATTCCATTTTTGAGTACTATGTACAGGGAAACTCCACAGTTTTGATTATAAATTTTCCACTCACAATATCTAGTGTTTTTACATTATGTAAAAGAAATTATTGATTTAATGTAATTTATCAAGATTAGTCTAAGATTTCACTTCCATTTCCAGCTATGCTTTTGCTGGTCCACATCTAGACTTACATTAAGAAGTAAACATACAGGGACTTCCCTCGCAGTCCAGTGGTTAAGATTCTTCACTTCCAATGCAAGGGGCATGGGTTCCATCCCTGGTCGGGGAACTAACATCCCACATGGCGTGGGGTGTGACCAAAAAAGTATTAAAAAAAAAAAAAAAAACTGTTTGGTTAAAAAAGAAAAAGTAAACATACAGTAAAAAAAAAGAGATGTGAGCAACACTGTCATACATGTGTCTGTTTTTGTTAACGATTTTAAAAAGCCTTAAATTATATTTTGTATCATTCTTAAATTATAATACTTTGTAACCCAAGTTGAAAATATATTCAAATAATCTTAACTGATGAGCCAAAAGCAGTTAAAAGCCAGATTCTCTTTTTCTGTTTTTTAATAATGTAAACTTATTATGTATGAGATTTTCATTGTTTCAAATATCTAACATTGCAAGTCCCTTGCAATGTTTAAATCACTAAAATAATAATATGGATAATAAATCACTGATTAATTTTCAATGTGAGTATAAAAAGCTACACCAGTGGGCTTCCCTGGTGGTGCAGTGGTTGAGAGTGCGCCTGCCAATGCAAGGGACACGGGTTCGTGCCCCGGTCTGGGAGGATCCCACACGTCGCGGAGTGGCTGGGCCCGTGAGCCATGGCCGCTGGGCCTGCGCGTCCCGAGCCTGTGCTCCGCAACGGGAGAGGCCACAACAGTGAGAGGCCCGCGTACCGCAAAAAAAAAAAAGAAAAAAAAAAGCTACACCAGTGTGAACAAATGGATTTTCGCAATAAACAGAATCAAGACAGTGGACAGTCTCTTCAGCCAGGAACAAATGCAGGTTCTTGTGTGTTAAAATACAAGAATGTTTTATGTCCCATCCATGTCTATATTTATTAGCTATCATTGAATACTTAGGCTATAGGTATATATCATACTAATGGTCTACTGGCTTCAAGAAAGGCTTTATTTTTAAATTTCTCCTAGCTCAGCATAGTTTCTTAAATAGACTTTATTTTTTTAGAATGGTTTAGATTTACAGAAAAATTGAGACAATAGTACAGAGTTCCTATATATCCCCTCTCCCAGTTCCTCCTGTTATTAACATCTTACATTATTATGGTTCATCTGCTATAATTAATAAACATATTGATACATTAACTAAAGTCCATGGTTTATTCAGATTTCCTTAGTTTTTACCTAATGTCCTTTTTCTGTTCCTGGTTCGCACATTACATTGACTTGTCATGTTCCCTTAGGCTCCCTGGGATGTGACAGTGTCTCTGACTTTCCTTGTTTTTGATGACCTTGACAGTTCGGAGTACTGCTCAAGTATTTTGTAGGACGCCCCCCTACTGGAATTTGTCTGATGATTTTCCTCAAGATTAGACTGAGGTTATAGGTAATTTTCCTAAGAGAAATTAGATACCTAGAAATTAAAAACACATCTAGACTTCATCAAACTGTTGCCATGGACATAACTCATGTACCATTTTTAGTATTGTACCTATTCTGTATGATTAGAGGAAGCAAAGATAGTCTTGAGAAAAGAATATGATGATTAAAAAAAAAAGTTTGGCTTTTAAAAAAATAAATAAGAGGTAGATAACATTATAAAGAGAGCAGTCATATTAATTCTCTTTCCAAAATAAGCATATTCTTTATGAATTAAAACTACTAGGCCAGAAAGTCAGATAAAAATGCATATAAAGTTAGTTCAATTCTATATATCTACAGAGGTAAATTTGGGATTTATGTAAATAGATGTTACTCAAGTATATCTATGTTTTCAAAACGTTGTCACATTTGTGTCTATCAAATGAACAATAAATAAATATTGTGCAGGATTCTTTTGTCTATGGGTCAAAAATAAGTCTTAAATCCTTAGAAAATTTAGAGTAGGCAATCATTCTCAAAGAATTCTCTCCTGAGCAGTGGTTCTCAATCTTTCGCATGGATCAGAATCACCTGAAGGGCTTGTTCAAACACAGATTCCTGGGTGCTATCCCCAGCAGTTTCTGATTCAGTGGGTCGAGGGTGGGGCCTGAATGTCCATTTTTAACAAGTTCTCAAGAGGCCGAGGCTGACGGTCTGAAGGCCACACTATGAAAACCACTGAGCAGAGTCAACAAAGAAGCTTTGTTCATTAATTGCCTACGATGACGAAGGTGTTTTACGTATGTAATATTATTTAACTAGTTACAGAATCTCATCAAGGGTATGATTATCCCTTTTATAAATGGGGAACCTGAGCTCAGAAAGACGGAGGAACTTGCCTGAAAAGATAATGGGATCAGGTGGCAAAACTACAATTCAGATCTCCTTCAATTCTAAAGCCCTCTTTTTCTAGTACAACATACTGCTCCACGTTGGTAAAGGAGTGAAACACATGCATCCTTTGCATGCCCATCTGGAAAGGAGACTGTACCAGATATAGAAAGTGATTTGTTCAGCTTAGTAGGGTGTTATCTAAAGGTCAGGGATTCTTCCTGAAAACTAGGCAAAGGCTCAGGGTCGTGGAGAGAATTCACTTAACTCCAAACTTCTGAAATAATCAAGGGTGAAGTGAATTACTGTATAATTAAAACTGGAAGAACATGTATTTAATATACTACTGAATAGTCCTTAATTACTAATATTTTATTATTCCTTACAGAAAAATGCACATTTAAATAAAAGTCCTTAAAAGAATAATCTCATTTCCACTTAAGTTGAAAGCATGATACTATTCTAAATGTCTGCTGTGTACACTACATCACCAATCAACCAATACTTACTTAGGTATTGAAGTAACACAGCATGATGGTCTTCAACAAAATACTCTGACAGCTACTACGACACTTATCTCCTTTCACAGAGAAAATCAAAAGCAATGACATACAAACAAAATAAGCAATTTAAATTTTAAGAAAAGTGGTATATTTTATAGAAATAAATCACCAAAAATGAAGTTGCCAATAACATAAACTTGTCACTTTGTTATACTCTATATAACAAAGACACTGAGACACAAAATTATTGGACTGCAGACTTAAAATAGTTAATGAGGTCTACACTTCAGAATGACAAAAACCTCCACCCAACTCTATCTCTATCAAAACAAATATTTTATGTTAAGATTCCCTTTTGAATATCTATATACGTATTTCCATTTAATACTGTTAATCAAACCCACAGTCATATTTATTTAAATAAGAATTAAATAAACTGCCCCAAATGCTGATTTCATTATCACAAAACCTAAGTATTTTAAATCACAACTTCAGGATGGTATATTGTATACGTTGTTTCCTTAGACAACATTAACGAGCATATTTTTAAGGATATATTGTCATCTGTAGGTCAGGTAAAGCTTTATTAAATGGTAAACACTTTTAACAGTGCAGAAATACAAGTTTCAAAAACAAATACATTCAGAAGATCTGCTGTTCAAATAATATCTTTTCAAAACCAGGTGGAGGAGTATGATAAAATTCACTGAACTGGCAATCCAAAATTGCACTGTCATCAACTAGAGATAGAAAAAAAAGAAAATAAATTAGAAGCAAACACCTTAATTTGAATGAATACATAAATCATAAACTGTTTTCATAATGCCATAATATTAATAGGCAGGAAGAATAAACGCATCTGCTATCCAGGTTACAAAACATGATCCTATTGGGTAAAAATAACCACAATGAAGAATAAAATCTATCAAGAACACTGAAAGGAAATACATCAAAATATTACTAATAATTATTTCTAGATGATGTAAACATTGGTAATTTGAGTTTTTCCTTCCTTACCTACCTGTATCTTCTCAATTTTACACATTAAGATAAATTACTTCTTAAAAAATATTTTATTAAAAAAATTATAGATTCACAAAGAGTAGCAAAAATAATACAGAAAGTCCTGTGTACCCTTCACTCAGCTTCCCCTAGTGGTAACATCTTACACAACTACAGTACAATATCCAAACCAGAAAACTAACACTGATACTAACACTGTTCATTAGACTACAGGCCTTATTTAGCTTCTACATATTTTTACCAGCATTTACTCAAGAGAAATGAATGCATATATCCACACAAAGCCTTGTACATGAATGTTCACAGCACCTTTATTTGTAATGGCCAAAAACTGGATACAACTAAATATCCATTAACAGGTGAAGGGAAAAAACAACTATGATATATCCACACAATGAACAATACTACTTGGTAATAAAAGTCAATGAATTGTTGATACATGCTACAACATGGATAAATCTTAAAATAATTATGCTGAGTAAAAGAAGCCAGACAAAAAAAGAATACAAATTGTATGATTCTATTTATATAATACTCTAAAAATGCAAGATAATCTGTAGTGAGAGAAAGCAGATAGTGGCTGCATGGGGTGGGTGGGGAGAGGTGAGTAGAAAGCATTAAAAGGGGGCAGGAGGAAACTTAGGGGTGATGAATATGTTCATTATCTTGACTATAGTAATGATATGGGTGTTCACTTTATAGCTACTTGTTAAACTGCACATATATGTTTAATACACATTAGTATTTTATACTTCATAATAAATGCAGAAAAAAAGTTAAGTACTGGATTTGACATTCATGAAGTCACTAGTGATTTTAACAAGGGTGGCTTCAGTGAAGTGGTGGTAAAGGCACCCACACCGGTTGAAGAACAGGTGAACGATACAATATAAACAGTGACGGAAGCTATTCTATAAGAAATGCAGCCATATAGAGAAGGGTAAACAGAGGACTGGTGAGGGTATGAGTTTAAGGGAGGGTATTTTGGAATGAGAATGATTCAGAATGTTCAACAGACATTGAAGAGAGGTTGATGACACGAGACAGAGATGAAATAATGACAGTAAAGTCCCAGAGTCGGGGAGTTTGAAATCTAGGCCAGAGACTGAGTTTTCTGAACATGAAGGGCACCACTTCCTCTAAGATGGGATGAGAAGAAGGCAAGACTGGAGTAGATCCAGAAAAGCTTCAGGAGGATGGGGAGGAAGTCTAGAGTTTACCACTGATGGTCTGTTTCTCTATAAACTGGAAGGGAAGGTCAATCTATGCAGAATGAATAGGGAATTCAAGAACTACAATGAAAGTCTGGAATGTGCAGAGATGTAACAACACTTTTCTTTAGTGTTATGTAGTGTTGTCTCTCCATAGGTTGAATGCAAGAACTGACAAAATGAATGACTGGATGGATCTAGGATTAGGGATGGGATAGAAGACAAAGGGTAAAGGAATTTGAATTTTATTTTTATCTTTGATAGTATCTGGCAAAAATATTTGATTTAATTGGACTGATTTATCAATTTCAATTTATAAAATACATTACTATATATAATTTATTACCTTTAACTTTATTACATTAAAAATAATGCCAAATCAAAGAAACAATTTAGAATAAAAATCTCATTTGCTATATTCATTTATAACTCAGTCATTCTACTGATATTTATTTCATTTCTCAGACTAAACTATTTTGAATATTAAGCTACATTCCCATGTATTTAAGTAAATACATTTCTTTTAGGCTTACCCAATATTGCAAATACACTAACCTATATCAAGCTTAAAAATACACCTTTACATGCAAAGACATGCAAAGATACAGAAGGCAAAAATCACTGAAAAGTAATAATTTAGGAAAAAAGAAGATAAATGAAAACCTTAAAATAAAGCACAGGCTATGACTGTTATTATCAAATTATTAAATATTTTTATTTGTTACTGTATAATTTTCTGCTATTCCGAACAAACACTGCTACTTTTCCAGTAAGTTACTACAAAAAAGTTAACAATTAGTTTTTATTATGGCTCAAATCCTTAGATTAATTGATTAAAGTAATTACATGAGAAAATGTTTTTAGAGCAACTAAAACCACAGGCAGAAAAATCATATACATGTTGATTTAAAGTTGGTAACATAAAAAAATGAATAGAGTGATAAAGGCACAGTGCTTATGTATATTTTTTATAAAGAGAGACACCTTATTTTTTAGAGATACAAATAAAATAGTTAAGAATAAAATGGTATAATGTCTGGCATTTGCTTCAAAATACTAAAAGGAGGGGGAGATGAAGAACAGGAGGACTGCAGGGAGGGGATGAAACGTGACTGGCTACTAGTTGATAATTGTTTGAAGCTGAGTGATGGGTACATGAAAGTTCATTATTCTATTCTCTTTACTTCTATACATGTTTGAAATTTTCTGTAATAAAATTAAAGTAACTAACTGGTACAGAGTCATCTCTAAGTAACCCAACACTTGTACAGAAACTATAGTACTTACACATACGTGGCTATCAAAAGCAAAACAATCAATATGAAACCATTCTAAGTCAATAATTCTCTCAGAAGAGTTTTAACATTTAGGTAATTTTATAAAGGTAACCAAAGCTCAATCTACTAAATTTAGGTAATTTTATAAAGGTAACCAATGCTCAATCTACATGGAATTCCCATCCCTATTTCCAAAATATTCTTTACAATTACATTTCCTGGCCATCTTACCCTCTCTAACAACTGGCAGAAATATCTTTTTGTAAATTCCATAAAGCTTTTTGGAACTTTCTAGAATATAAGACTATATGATATAAAAGAGAATATGATTATTGCATATTTAAGTATAATCATTGTATTTAGCAAGTTTATTTTTTAAATATATGGGGAATAAAAACTTTCCATAGTCCTGTCAAGTGGGATTGTGATAACCTACTGAGTACACTACAGAGGTCCTTATTAACTTGTCCAGCCTTCTGAATGACAGTTATAAAGTTAATGAAAATGCCAAGCAAAAGTTAACATATATCTAATAATGTTTAGCAATATTTTAGCTTACCATAAACAACTGGATACACTGTCCCTCGTATACCTGATGCTGGACAATGCATGTTTTTTCCATTCAAATATACATTTAATTCTACATGGTCATATGTAATACCCTAGGAAGCAAAGTAAATATTAAAAAGGGTAAAAATATACATGTTCCATAAAAACCTGAACAGTCAGAAAGCACTGACTGGGGAGCATGGAAACACAAAAAACTAAGCAAAAGGTCACAATAGCTTGTATTAAGGTTTACAATTAGGTAGAATTCACTTGAACTGAGCTAAAAAAAATTAGTGGTGATTATGTGGGGGGAAAAAGGTAAAATCCCAAGAGTCCACATTAAAGGTAAAACTAAATCTTAGTATTATATTCAGATAATCTGGATTTTATATTTTGAATATTAAGATGATATAAGTACTATATACTGTAAACAAAGAGACCTTTTAAACTCATATAGAAAACACTGCTCTTTATATATAGAATTTGATCTCAAAGGGGGAAAACAGTGAAGTTTTCACCATTAGGGATTATTATCTGTCACTGCTTTCAATTGTGATGAATTGTCTTTATACAACTTATTTCCAAAAAGAAATGATATATTTCTGTATCTCTTTACCTTGGCTTCAAATATGTCAAGTGTATTACCAAGGTAAAGTGGGTATTTACAACTGCATATAATTGGTAATTAGTATCAAGTTGAAAAATAGAAAAACAACAGCTCAAAAGACTTTAAAAAGACAATAGAATAAAAATATATTACTTTGTACATTATTAATGGTACACAAATCACAATTAATAACAATTATTATTATTAAAATGCTGGAAAACAAATAATCTGTATTATGTACCAAACACTATTCTAGGCACTTCATATTTACTCATTTAATCCTCATAAGATAGGTATTTTTATTATCCCCATTTTACAGATGAGGTAGCTAAAGCACACAGAGGTCAAATAATTTACCTGAGTTTGCACAGTTAGGAAGTGGCAGAGCTGGGATTTAACCTCATGCAGTATGGCTTTGGAAAACTTATTCTTAATTGCCACGCAATTCAAAACTTCAAAACTTTTAAGAACTTTTATACTTTTAAATCTCTCTTTAAGACTTTGTACAATATTTACTAATTGATGACAAAAAGAGAGCTTTACTTTGAAGAATTAAGAATAGACAGTGGAGACCTTTCAATAGAAACCATCACAGACCAAGAAGCAACCACTTCAAGGATTTCTGACTGTGGATAAATTATATGAACCTACAAGCTTTTAAAGGTAGAAAAACATCTTACAGATGATCTAGTCTTAACTCCCTCACTTTCCAGTTAAGACAGCAAAGGCCCAGATGAGTCAATGTGTTAAGTGCTATAAAAGATTCTCAAATCTTAGCAAAGCCAGGGTTAGACTAAACACAGAAAGATAAACGCTGCTTTTCTTTCATTTGTTTACGTACTTAAATAATAAAGCTAAGTGATGGCTAGGATTAGCTTTTTTAATGAAGTCGTCTGTTTTCATTTAGAAAACATGATTACAAAAATAAATAAATAACATGATTCCATAAAAAACAGTGTGTTACTCCCTTTACAGGATTACCAGGAATCTAGCAGTTCAGATCAGCAGGCTGTAGTCTGGGCACCCTCCCCCACCTGGTGGCAGCATCACCTACCTCAAGCAAGCAAATTTTCAACCCCACCCTCCAGCACCAATACCCAGCACCCGAGAGAGAAGCAAGGAAGGATGTGAGAACCCCTGCCCTCCAGAAGCAGAGTTTAAGTTCAAGTATTTTCTAACTTAATCTGTCTTTTTTTTTTTTGGCTGTGCCACGTGCATGAGGGATTTTAGTTCCCCGACCAGGGATCGAACCCATGGCCCCTGCAGTGGAAGCGCTGAGTCCTAACCACTGGACCGCCAGGGAATTCCCTTAATCTGTCCTTTTATATGTTCTAGAAACTAGGTTTGATTCTCTCATAATGATACCGAGAAATGTGATGTGTTCTAAGGATTTATCAATAATATTTGCAGGTTTGGTGAAGCGACTCTGAAATTAGACTGCCTGAGATCACTCCAAATAAGTTATTACTTAACTTCTAATCTGTAAAATGGTAAAAATAGTACCACCTATTTCACAGGGTCATTAAGAGGATTAAACAATTTAATCCCTGCCAGGCACTTAAAGCCATTCTGGCCCATAACAGATGCTAGAGAAGTGTCTGCTATTATTATTATTGTTACACAGAATGTTTATGAAACTTCTCTGAAATTAAACTGAAAACTGAGGGCTTCCCTGGTGGCGCAGTGGTTGAGAGTCCGCCTGCCGATGCAGGGGACACGGGTTCGTGCCCCGGTCTGGGAAGAGCCCACATGCCGCGGAGCGGCTAGGCGCGTGAGCCATGGCAACTGAGCCTGCGCGTCCGGAGCCTGTGCTCCGCAGCAGGAGAGGCCACAACAGTGAGAGGCCCGCATACCGCAAAAAAAAAAAACAAACAAAAAAAACAAACAAAAAAAAACCCTGAAAACTGCAATTTTAAAATGTAATCTGCACTTTTCTAAACTATATATAAAAGGAAAAAATAAGCACAAGCTGTTTCAGGAACACCTCCCTGGTGCTGTAGTAGGCCCTGTTGGTACTATATGATTACTGTATAAATACAATCATTTGGTTAGATGTTGAAAGCTTGTTTTTCTTGATTCTCCTGAGAGAATCGTATATGACTGAAATTCTACACATGAGAATGTTTTTCCTGTCTTATAATTCATTCCTCTTTTCCTATGCTATTGTCAGTAATTTAGTGAAATTTGTTCTCAAATGTTTAAACTAGGAAGATAAAGTTAATAGAGTAGGATAATGTTTTACTTTTCAGGATTCTGCTTATATTTCATCTTTTTGAGTCCTCCTTTTATCAGAATGGGCATAAAAACTCAAAGTCTAATTTTTTTATTTATTTTAATTTTTGGCTGCATTTGGGTCTTCATTGTTCTGTGTGGGCTTTCTCTAGTTGTGGCGAGCGGGGGCTACTCTTCGTTGCAGTGTGTGGGCTTCTCACTGCAGTGGCTTCTCTTGTTGTGGAGCACGGGCTCTAGGCGCACAGGCTTCAGTAGCTGCAGCACGTGAGCTCAGCAGTTGTGGCTCGCGGGCTCTCGAGAGCAGGCTCAGTAGTTGTGGTGCACGGGCTCAGTTGCTCCACAGCATGCGGGATCTTCCTGGACCAGGGATTGAACCCACGTCCCCTGCATTGGCAGGCGGATTCTTAACCACTGCGCCATCAGGGAAGTCCCTCAAAGTCTAATTTAATAATGCTAACAGACTAAAAATGACATTCTTAAATCTGTCAATTTGAGGTATCAGTCACTTCAGGGAATGAGACAGGAAGGCAAGAATAACATACAGTAGAAGTTCAGTACATCAACAAAGAAAAACATTTGTTACTGATTAACCTATCTTATGTTTGAATTTCATTTTTTAGTATAAACAGGTTGACGGCACCAACCTGACTTCAAGATTCTCTTCCACGAAATAACCATTTGAATAAGGGTGTTCTACATTATGGGCATCTGGCAATGACCTACAAACACAGAACCAACTATTCGAAAGGAAAAGCAGATTTTAAAAATGGTTTATGCCTTTAGTTTCCTTTAGTTAATTTAGGAAAAACATACTTTCAATAATTTACCTATTTGAAGACTCTTCTTCACATTGTTTTTTTTTTTTTTGCGGTACACGGGCCTCTCACTGTTGTGGCCTCTCCCGCCGCGGAGCACAGGCTCCGGACGCACAGGCTCAGCGGCCACGGCTCACAGGCCCAGCCACTCCGCAGCATGTGGAATCTTCCTGGACCGGGGCACGAACCCGTGTCCCCTGCATCGGCAGGCGGACTCTCAACCACTGCGCCACCAGGGAAGCCCCACGTTTTTTAAATTGCATAAAAGATCAGACCATAATTAAATATCATTTCCACATCTTCCTTCACTCTCTTCAAAATATTGTATACTTCTTTAATACAGTAACCTGGATTTACCTTGTCTGTGTTATCTTATTATTAGAAACTCTCTCTGATTATTTACAGATTCCTTTCAACTTGGTATGAGAGCCAGGAACCGAAGGCTCTGTGTAAGGAGACCCAAGAACTCTGTTCTCAGTCAATAGCTAATGGCCTGAACTCAGTGTATAAGGTTCTTGGACAACACTGTTTGAGAGGAAGTATCTGGAAAAAGGCAGAAAGGGATCTTTGGATTACATTTTCAATAGGGTGGCTTTGGTAGAGACTTAAATATATCTAGTTGGGAATAAAAACAGAGAAGTCAATAATATGTAACTCCTTCTATCCCCTGCTTTCCAAAAAAAGTTTTCTATAATCAAGCCTTAGAACATTGAGTCAGTTTTTTGAAGAGTTCTGAAAGTGAAGGAAGTTTAGTAAGGTTATGTTTAACAAGGACCAATGCTCCTGATAAAATGCTGTACTTCTTTAACAGAAGTTCATAACAAATTAAGCAATAAATGTCAAATTTTTCTCTAAGAGATCTCCAGCTGCAAAAATACCTAATATTTTCTAATATAAGGGTTAGCAAACTTTTAAAATTGTGGGCCAAGGTTTCTTTTATGTGAGAGAAGCAGGAAATGATCAGCAGCCAACCTGTCATCAACTCTCCCTTAAATGGAAATAAGGGTTCACGCTTATTTTCCTGGCCAGTGGCAGCTCTAGAAAGGAGAAGGCAGTTAGGTAAGGCAGTAGCATCTACATCAAGTGCTCTCTTTGGAAAATGTACTACCTCATTAGATCCAATTCCGGTGCTTTGGAATTCAAACCACAAACTCAGAGGCAAAAGTAGAAATACTAAAAGCAGTCAAGTTTAATAATTTACAGTGGAAAACAACTCCACAAGAAAACTCACCACCACGTCTCCCTCCTGTGGAAGGCTGTTTGCTGGCAGCCTATTTTTCTCCTCGTTGTTGTGATATAGGGCTCCATCATTTCTCATCACCAGACTATGCACATCTCGGCCAAGAGGGATCTGATTCAAGTTAACTTTCTGAGTTGCAACGCCAATACCCCAGATTCCTAAAAATATAATAATTTAAATGCTCCCCAAATCTGCAGTATACAAATATGAAAGGAGTTGTTTTTAAAGAAAGTGGCATATTATCACTAAACTATTTTTTTGTTAATCTTTAAAAAAATTCTTTTAAAAGTAGTTTGCAAACTATACCATGTTCTCTTGCAGATGTAGTACAGCCTGGGAGATAAGCGAGTGGGCCCTGGAGTTGTACTGTCTAGGTTTAAATTCTGACTTTGCTATGTCATCTTGGGCAAGTTACTTAACCTCCCCCTGCTTCCTCACCTGTGAACTATGGATTCTAACAGTACTATCCTCTTAAAGTTATCAGAAGATACAGCAAGATCATCCAAGTGAAGCACTTGGAACAGTGTAAGTATTAAAAAAAAATGGGTAAGTAAAGCACAGAGGAAGTATTTTTAAAAGATACTAGCTATTGTCATTATTATTATTATTATTCTCTAAAAATATTATTAAAATGCTACACAATGAATTTAAATGGCCTGGGGTTCTATTTCAAGCACCACCTCTGAGAAGCAGGAATTTACTGTCTTTACTTTTTGCATCTATAATATGTGACAAATAATATATGACCTGGTCAGTATCATGGAGAGGAGAAAAATAATGATAAAGTGTAAAATCATTTTCTTATTCAATACCTTAAGTTCATGAGTTTAAAACCTTTTGGTCTAAATTGACTTTTTTTTTTTTTTTTTTTTTTTTTTTTTTTGTTCGGGGGTTCGCAGTACGCGGGCTTCTCACTGTTGTGGCCTCTCCCGTTGCGGAGCACAGGCTCCGGACGCGCAGGCCCAGCGGCCATGGCTCACGGGCCCAGCCGCTCCGCGGCACATGGGATCTTCCCAGACCGGGGCACAAACCCGTGTCCCCTGCATCGGCAGGCGGAGTCTCAACCACTGCGCCACCAGGGAAGCCCTAAATTGACTTTTAAAGCAAGCAGCTCTCTTCTTAATCTAAGAGAATACCTACAACTCCCGGTTACATCTCAAAGGGTTTCCTTCTCAGTTTTTATCAAAATCAGTTAGGAGAAATTCTATACATCAAAGAATGTTTGAAGACCATGCTGTCAATCAATCAGTTTTCCTGGATTGAGTGAGACCATCAGAAAGCTGCATGTCTGGACTTCACTGTCTTGGCCTCCTAAATAATTTGATTACATAATTTATCCTCCAAGGTGGGACAAGAGCGACAGCAGGTGATAATACTAATTTCATGGGACAACAGTTCTAGACAGGGTTACAGAGTCCCCTTACTCCTAAAGAACTGTGCACACTGTGATACACTTGGGCACAACTGCCTGAAGCTTTCATTGAGGGAACAATGCTACAAACTCCAATAATGCACTTATTCTAGAGATATTATTGAGGATAGCACCCTTTATAGAAAATTCACATAAAAATTTGTATTACATCTCAGGCTCAAGAACTATTCGCTTCTCTTGGGAAAAAGTATGTTATACTTGAGAAGATTACAGTAAGCAGAGACATTATGCAGCCAGTGAGTTAACTTACAAAAGAATGGAATGGAGGACAGATTCAAATTTATTTCACACACTTAAGAAAAATCAGTATTTAAAATGAATTTAAAAAACAAGCCCCAGAGGAATATTTTATGTCATTCAAGTAAGAGTAAGAGCAGAATTAATTTACTCCACTCTAGATTTCCAATTCTGTACATATATTACTCATGCCATGTTTCACTAGACATTTCTTTATAATAAAGCCTTAAAAAAATTTCCCCATATTCAACACTGCCACAAGTTAACTAATTAATAACTATCATAATACTCATGTAGAATTGCTATACAACTCAAGAAACTTCAAAACTAAAAAAAAATTTTTTTTAAATTTTAATTGAAGTATAGTTGATTTACAATATTGTGTTAGTTTCAGGTGTACAGATTCATAAATTTTTAAAGAGACTTTAGACTTCTATCAGAATTCTACATCTGCCAATTGCTTTAGAAGACACTGAATCAGGGAACCTTAACAAGAGTTAAGAGAAAACCTCAGGATCATAAGTTTAATTTTATCCTAAGATAAAACAGCAAGAGTCTACACCTTATATGCTTGACCAAATGAAATGGTTCATCTAGCTGCCACTAATAATTAACCATATTAATAATAATGCTTGTGCCTTAAACTGAACCAGTATGTCGTGTCTTTTAAACACTTTCATATATATAGCTCACGTGAGGCAGGAAGGGCAGCTCCTGTAATCCATTTTATAGATGAGAAAACTGAACCTAATATAACGAAATTGACTAATTAAACCAGGATCACACAATAAGATGTGGAAGAAAAAGGTCTTCTAAGTAAGAGTTTAGTGTTTTTTAAATTACCTCATTAATCTTTTTCATATATTGAAAATTACTCCTCATATTTAGAATAATTAGGACTTTTAATAGTCAAGTACCATTATACCAACCTGTGGATTGGATTTTGAATTCAAAGTAGCTTTTGTTTTGATGTAAAGGTGCACTGGCTAAACAACCTCCTGTTCCACATATTCTTCTTCCATTTTTTACAATGACAACATCCGTTCCTAAACAAAAGAATATAGACACTGTGTAAAGTTTTATATTCTCTTAACCAACAATCAAGGTTAATTTGTTTCACTTTTAACTCTTGGTCTCCAAAAAATAGGAAGACTATATATACTTTGAAATATAAAAATACTGATAAATTATTTAAAATATTTAATTTACTTTTTTCCTGGGAGAACATTAATATTAATTTGTGGCTAGAAATCTTGTTTAATTAGGCAGTTTCAAATAAATAGTAATTCTGAACTCTACTGAATATTTGAAACACTTTTAAGGTAGAAGTAGACTTTTTTTTTTGGCTGTGCCACGTGGCTTGCGGGATCTCAGTTCCCCAAACCCCGGACCACGGCAGTGAAAGCCCAGAATCCTAACCACTAGGCCACCAGTGAACTCCCAGAAGCAGACTTTCTTAAATTTTAGCCAATGAATCAATTTGATGATTTCATAAATATCTTGATTTAAATAAAAACATAAACACTTAAAAGAAACTGGCAAATTAGTACCATTTTCAGTTCAATCTAAACAAATCAATCTGCTAAAAACTGACTGAATGTCTACTAGGTACAAGGTCCTATGCTAGTGCTTTGGTCAAGTAAGAATTGAAGATGAATGGAACACGGAAAGGAACATACATCTATGTTCTTGAAATAGCTGACACGGGGCTTCCCTGGTGGCGCAGTGGTTGAGAATCTGCCTGGCAATGCAGGGGACACGAGTTCAATCCCTGGTCCAGGAAGATCCCACATGCCGCAGAGCAACTAAGCCTGTGCACCACAACTACAGAGGGTGCACTCTAGAGCCCAAAAGCCACAACTACTGAAGCCCGTGTGCCACAACTACTGAAGCCCACGCACCAAGAGTCCGTACTCCGCAACGAGAAGCCACCACAATGAGAAGCCCGCACACCACAACGAAGAGCAGCCCCCACTCACTGCAACTAGAGAAAGCCCGCACGCAGCAACAAAGTCCCAACGAAGCCAAAAGAGAAAAAAAATGGGGCTTCCCTGGTGGCGCAGTGGTTAAGAACCCGCCTGCCAATACATGGGACACAGGTTCGAGCCCTGGTCCGGGAAGATCCCACATGCTGCGGAGCGACTAAGCCCATGAGCCACAACTACTGAGCCTGCGCTCTAGAATCCGCGAGCCACAGCTACTGAGCCTGCGTGCCTAGAGCCCGCTCCACAACAAGAGAAGCCACTGCAATGAGAAGCCCGCGCACCACAACGAAGAGTAGCCCCCGCTCGCCACAACTAAAGAAAGCCCGGGCCCAGCAATGAAGACCCAACGCAGCCAAAAATAAATTTAAAAAAAAAAAAAGAAATAGCTGTCATGGAAAAATGCTAATTTTAGGATTTTAAAAATGTCTGTAAGATAGCTGCTGTCAATCATATTGCAAATATGTAAACAAGATTTTAACATCATTAAATGCATTGTATTTTCATGGAAAATTTTAGTTCAAGTAACATTTGATAGATGAGAGTGAGAAAAAGTCTCTTGATAATGTGACTCCAATACCAATTCTTTTCCAAATATTGATTTAGGAAAGCTTATCAGAGAACATGAAGAAAGTTAACAAAATTCTAATACATAAGAAATATCCCGTAACATCGAGGCATGTGATTCCCAAGATCTGTAAGCAGTATGACTTTTCTGGTAATAAGTGTACAAGCCAAGCAGATCTGGCTGTGAGAACTGTAGGGAACTCCTCCAGAGGGGGTTAAATAAAACTAGAACATAGTAACAAAAGGTATTAACAGGGAGGCAGGTCTCTCATTAACTCGCTGTTGAATTCATACTTAAAAAATTATTTGGGACAAATACATAAGAGAAATACCAAATTTTCAGATTTTATCACAATTCTAAACTGGTTGATTTAAGAAAGACACTCTCTTATTTAAGGTAAAACTAAGATCCTATTATATGATTATTAAAAACTTATTAGCATCCTTTTTTTTTCTAATTACAAATGTTAAACCGCAAATTCTGGGAAAGTGTCTTTATACATAATTTACATCTGGCTGCCCCATATACCTTGGCAGTTTCATTTGGAGAACATCCGGGGCCCAGCTCCTCCTTGATGGCAAAGACCATGGAGTGCTCGGCATCCAGCGGACGCTCGACAAATAACTGATACATAAATGAATGAATATGTTCTGCTAAGTACTGTGTAGTGGACATGTAGTATCTGTTTTCCCTTTCCCAACAGACTTTGCTCTGGAGATCAAAACAGTTCCAAGGAAGCTGACTCAATCTCTGGTTTCAGGGGTACAGCTTTGACCTAGGTTAAGTTAATCAGTGCATTCCACATTTCCTGGCCACAGTGACTGAGTGAAAAACGGTCATATGACCTAAGCCACTACCATCAGAGATAGTCTCAGGACTTTTGCAGAGAGAATGAAGGGATAAAGATTCTCTCATTCTTGCTGGATCTGAATGAGGAAGCCTACAGCCCAGGGAGAGGCTACAAGTTATCATGGATGCCAGCCTTCAGGAATAAGCAGCAGAAGACAGAGGAAAGAGATGAAAAGAAGCTCAGTCCTTAGCAGCACTGAGTCTTCCTGAAAATAGTGCTGCTTTTGTACTTTTTAAATTTACACGAACCAATAAATTTCCTTCATTGTTTCAACTGTTTTGAGTTGCAGGTTTTACAGCTTGTAACTGAAAGCATCCTAAGTGAAAAACATTTCAAAGAACTATGCAAATAAATGGTTTTTTTTTTTTTCATACCCAGCAATACTTTTTGGTTCTCATACATATCTCTGAGTTGGAACCACAGAACCAACTCTGAATATGCTATTATTCTCTTACTTCAATCTCATTTCTTATCTCCAAGGCATTCTGCTAGGTACTGAGATGTTTTATACAGAAAGATGGATATATTCACAGAACATTTTAGAGTGTTTGTGAATCACTGGGGAATTATCTTAAGCTTATTCCATTTCTCTTTTTTAAGTACAAAGATATCCTATATTTGGATATATGTGATTTGTACAGTTTCATTAATTATCAAGATTGCTTAGAAAGCCAAGGCAAATTTGAGTATAGCCAGAACACATATAAACATAGCCAAAGTGTATTTTTTAAAAAACATTAGACATTTCCAAATGAATGGCATCCCTTTCAAAGTAGCTACCTTGGAAGACATTCATTTCTAAAAAGTCAATTCACAATTAAATACGGAGGTTGTGGCAAAAATGAAGATATTTATTAAAACTACTCCACAGAAAATCCCAAAAGGAATTCCAAATCGTTTTAAGTGATGCAGCACCACCAAAATAAGTGACAACTTTGAAAGAATTCATTGGCATATGACATGTATAGACTATTTTCTTAACAAAAAATGGCAATCACATTCTTTAGGTGACCTAATACAGCCTTTCACATATCCAAATACATGCATACTCACTCAGTGTGCTTCTCATATTTCAACTTAAGATCAACTGATGCTTGAAACCTGTTCCTAACTTGATGAGCCTCTCCTCTTATATTATTTGCTTTCTAAAATCTTGCTTCTTCTGTGATTGAAGAATTTGAATTTACTGGAAGACAGGTTAAGAAAAGTTTCCACGCAGATGGTAATGGGGGATGACATTACTCTACTGAAAGATGCTGGGCAGCTCTGGAAAAAGGAGAACATAGTGGAATGAGTACAAGTGACCGGTTCTTTGTGGAAGAAGAGACCAGAGAAAAGGAATACTTTAAAGAGCAGATTGTAGTAATTCAGGAGTTTGGCAGTAGAGATAGAAAGAGCTAAAGCTGACCATACACTCCAGGAACTACGTGTGGTTTTCCTTTACTGTGTTCCTAGCATCTAAAACAATGCCTACCGTATAACATCAGTCAATAAATATCAGTTGGGTGAACGAATAAATGAAATGGAAACATTTTCTGAGGGAAATTATAGAATTTGAACATCTGTCTATAAATGATGAATAAGAAATAAAGAGATACACATACATATATATTTATGTATCAGGGTCTATATTACACTTGGGATATCTAAGAATTAAAATACCCACATACAAAGTGGTAAACAATTATCACATTTGTGATTTAGTACATGCTACAGACATATAATGAGCAGAGTATTTCCAGAATTATAAAGAATCTGGGCGGGAGAGGGTTTTGCTATAAATATTAAGAATTCCCTGTTATTTCAATGCACTGTCCTTTAGCCAAAGAGAGATGTGGGAAAAACTGAAAGTGCAGATGTATACTTTGAAGAGAATAATCCGCAAAAAAAACAGTACTCTGAAGTAATTATAGTGGGAAATCTCTCCTTCTAGAACCATATTCCAGAAGCATGGAACTACATGGGACAAGTCTAAGAACAGAAATAGTAAGGTGGTAAAAGAGGGTACAGAGGGGAGGAGAAGGACGTTAGGAGAGAAGCTGTAAGCTCATTTGACAGTGGAAGGAAAAAACATAGATGCGAAGAAGCAAAGCGCTGTTTTATTTCTGCAATAGCCTGACCTGCTGGGAAGAGGCTGGTCAGGAGAAATTACAACACCTCTAAGCGTGATAACAGGGGTCGGACAGTGGGAGGTTTTCGTTGAAATGCCAGGTTCTGACCTGAGCGGTGGCTTCAGGCTTCTGCAACTTGCCTTGTTTTGACTTCAGGAGATGAGAGGAAAATCATTTCCAATAAAACAACCGATAAATGAAGGGCTAAGAGAAAGCTGTCAGGAGCCGAGGACAGCTAAAGCTTTCTGAAAATGTGTGGGACTGGACTGGAGCTCGGCAGTGGAGCACTGTAGGAGGAGCACAGAGTCCTCCCCACTCCCGTCGAAGGTGACGTCTTACACGAGTCCCACGAGGCGGCAGCCGGGAGGACACTGCTGTGGAAACGGGTAGGTCCACACACCCATCTTCGCAAGACAGGAGCTGACAGGGCTGCGCAGCTCTGAACGCAGAGCCGGGCCGAGATGGGGTCGACCGGAGTCTGGAGGAGACCCGTGAGGCCAAACCGGGTCCAGGGCAGCGTCACAGGGTGAGGGACAGGGCGCGGAGCCCGGGGGGGCCCGGCAGCGTGCGGTCCTCGTGACTCCAGGCTGACCCCGACCAGCCGCGCCCGACCCGGGGTGGGCCGTTGGGTCTGGGGAAGGGAGAGCCCTTACCCATGTGCTGCGTGTCCAGCTGCACGGCCGGCATCTCCTTCAGAGGGATGTGGCCCGTCCCGCCATCTCTGCAGCACCTCAGGCAGCAGAACACCGAGGCGGCCATATCTCAGGGACCTCCGACGCCGCCACCACCGCCTCCCTCGCCTAGACCGCGGCGACACCACCCCCCACCCTCTGCTCCGCCTCCCGCCCCCTCCCGAGCGCCAGAGGGCGTCTGGGTGGAGCGCGGAGGCCGGTGCTGCGACGCCGCAGGCCGGGAGGGCGCAGCGCAAGGTAAGGCGAAGCCAGCCAGGGCGGAAGATACGGAGGACCGGCTGGAGGGGCGGGGCCGAGCTGGGGGGCGGGGCTAGTGGCGAGGCGAGGCGGAGCGCGTGCCGGATGGGCGGGGGACGGCGTGCGCCTGCGCGCGGGAGACTTTTGCTTTCCGGCCGCCCAGTCTGTGTGCCGATATTGACGGCCGCGCGAACTTGTCTGGGTTCTACAGAAGCTCAGGGGTCTTCGGGTGCTGTATTCTTAAAACTGTGTCCCCCACTTCGACGTTATCTTTAGGGATGAGTTGACAGAGGCAAATCTGGCTGGAGGAGTGGGAGCTGATTTAGAAGAGCCCCACGGTTTCCCCCGCGCGCCCAGGAGTGAGAGAAATTTGCCTCCTGGGAGAGCCTCCGCCACACACCCCCATCACGCCCCCCCTACCGTGGCGGGTTTCTGAAGAGTTTTCTCAAGTCCTAAACAGACGCACAGGGCCCGGAAATAATGGCTGTTAGTGACTGCACCGTGGATATGCACCCGGCGCTCTAAATTGTCGGTCCTGCTGCATTTTAGGTGCAGAGATGGGCGTTCCGTGACCTTCGGTGCCGCGCGGCCGCGGGAGCCCAGGAAGCCACCCCGGGAGGGGACCCCTGGGGCGGGGCGGGAGGGCGATTCTTGACCGGCCTCTAATAGGCTCACCCTGTTTGTGGACAGAGGATTCGGATTCTCATGAGTGTGATGGGAACTCGGAGGCAGCGGGAAGGCTGCGGGGTCTCCAAGGGAAGTACTCAGTTCCTACCGCGTGTTCTTTCTTGCGTCCACGCAAGAAAGGATCCTCCCTTGGCGAGCGCCTGTCATCTCCGTGCTTACTTAGATCATCCGCCCCTGATCCATTTTTGCATCTTATGATATCATTTGGCGTCTGGAGATGGTCTGGGACAACCTCTAGAATTAACCTGGCTCAAACCTCTGTTCCCAAATAAGGTTTACATCCTGAAGTCTTCCCCAGGGTTCAAGTCTTGTGAAACTGGATGCGAAATGCCCCCTTAGTATGTAATGGGTTCCTCTACACAACTTTTTAGTGACCTGAGTACAAATATCCTTTATGGAGAATTTTTCTCCTCAGAATAGGAGAATTTTTTCAGGGTCCTGTGTCTCTGATCTTTATACAAATGGTGTTTTCATTACAATACTTATGAAAACCTCCAAGTTTTGTACTTTGAGATTTAGTTATCATAGGATTGGTAACCAAGGTGATTACTGAACCCCTCACTGCCTATAAAGTACTTTCTTGGTAATCATTTTACACATGAAATTTTATTTTACTGAAAACCTTGACCAATATTCTGAGAAGTGTTAACGTTCTAGTTTTTTCCATTGGGAAGGAGTGGGGAGTTGAATAGAATGCTGCAGAAACAAAAAATTTTCTGCCTGTGTGTGAGGTAGGCACTCTTTCACATCCGTATCTAATTGAATTCTTGAAAGGTTTGAGAGTGAATATTGTCTCTACTTACAGATGAAGAAATAGGCTTGGAGGGATTAAATAATTTGTGTAGCCTCAGATGACTAGGAAATAAACAAGGTAGGATTCAAAACCCATCAATCTGACTCCTAAGTCTGTATTTGCTCCACCAGATCATGCTGCCTCAAACTCTGAAGTTCTAACTCTTGCAATTAATGCTACAATCCTCTTAAATGTGCTCTCAGTTCAAAATGCAGATGTGCGCTTTATTTTTGTATGTTTCATTAATCTCTAAACTGGCCATAAACTTCCATAACTCATGTGTTTAGACAATAAAATAAAATCAGTTGTTATAAGGTAAAATATTCAGAAATATTATTAAAAGTAGTTAGTACATGTATTAAATATATAATAAACATTCAGGCCATTCAAGTTAGTCACATCTTCAATGAAAAGCCAGAGTCTTAGGCTTCCCTGGTGGCGCAGTGGTTGAGAGCCCTCCTGCCAATGCAGGGGACACGGGTTCGTGCCTCGGTCCGGGAAGATCCCACGTGCCGCGGAGTGGCTGGGCCTGTGAGCCATGGCCGCTGAGTCTGCGCATCCGGAGTCTGTGCTCCGCAACGGGAGAGGCCACAACAGTGAGAGGCCCGCGTACCGCAAAAAAAAAAAAAAAAAAGCTAGAGTCTTAGATAGCTGTGAATTGGCCATTACTGTAGAGGCAGAATTGACCTCGTCTTTCCTGGCTAGAAAAGTAATTTGCTGGGGCACTGCCCAGTGAACTTTGCCCCCATTATAGCAACTCAAGTGTACTCAGCAGAATGAAGCAAGCAAAACTGGTTAACTCCTGAGACAGACTTCCCTGTCTTGGCAGATGAATGCCATCCATGAGCTCGCAGACCTTATTCCTTCTTATATCTGGGATTCTATTATCCTTTCATTATTATTTTCAAAGAAACTAGCCTTTCTTTTTGAACAGCACAATGTTAGAGCTATTTTTACAGTCTTTCACAGCTATCACTTTAAATAACCATCACAAATAAACCCTACAAAAAGTTTCCTAATAGTTAGTTAGGAGGTCGTTTATCTATGTCAAAAGCAATAACAGAGAATGACTACTTGAAAAAAAAGTCTATCTGCTTTAGCGACACATGCCAGGAACTCAAGAACTGATAGGACAATAATGTAAAGCATGTGCTTCCGAGTTGACTTTAACATCGTGCTCAGGATTTTCTTTAATGATTTTTACGCCAGCCAGACATCTCCTTTTAGTCAACTCTACTCCCTGTACTGGGTCATACAAAGTGGTTTGTTTCTTAAAAACTCATTTATCAGTGTATTAAGCCAAACTTTTTTTCTTGGAGTAATCCAAGCCACATTTGTGATCTTTTAAAAATCAGAAACATTACAAAAACTCAGACTCCTAAAAACTAACAATGTTACTAGAGCCTTGATCTATTCATTATTATAGTTTTGAGTAATAGTAACTGACATTTATGTGGTGCTTACTGTTGCATGTCACTGTTCTAAGTACTTTTTATAAACTAATTTAATCCTTGTAGCAACTCCATGAGGTCAGGCTGTCTTCCACTTTACAGATGCAGAAGCTGAGGCAAAGAAAAGATAAGAAATGTGCCCAAAGTCACATAGGCAATAAGGGAAGTTGGACTCAAACCCAGGCAAGTCTGGCTCTAGAGTCTGTGTTCTTAGCCGCTATGCAAACTGCCTCCCTAGGGTGCTATATTTAAGAATAAATACCCAATTTTATTTTTGTTTCCTTCTCTCCCTTACTTCAGAAGTTGATATTTGATATTTCAATTTACCAGGCAGGGACTTCCCTGGCAGTCCAGTGGTTAAGATTCCTCGCTCCCAATGTAGGGTTTGATCTCTGGTCAGGGAAGATCCTGCATCCCGCGTGGCACAGCCAATAAAGTGAAATGAAATAAAATAAATTTACTTGGCATTAGTTGCACTCATTTAATCTGGGTTTGCTGAATTATAAGGTATATTACCGATATTCAACAACCAAAAATAAGGCAAATAGCATTGAGACACTTTTACTTACAACAGATTGACATTAGTCATGTTGCAGCTTTGCTGTCAGCAGCAGCACAGAACATTTTCCAGCAGTGTCCTTCATCGGGTGTCTCTAGATGGCCCAAAGAAAAGGATATTTAGTACTTTCAATTGTTAAGACACTTAAGCCAGGTTGAGATGGAAAATATAGAGATCTGGCATTAGGAAAGAAAAAGAAGATGGGGTAAGATAAAGGAATTTGATAGAGGTACAGAAAAATAAGAATAATAGAGGATAAAGCAGAACAATTTTTTAATATTAAAAAGGAAGAAAAAGAAGCCAATAACAAGTGCTCTATAAATTAGGGGCCAGGGAGTAAAAAATGTGATTTACCAAAAACTTTCAACCTGGAAGAAGTGTACCTTCATCTCCTTCCCTTCTGTGGATGATAAAGCAGGCTATCTTTATCATGAAGTGCCTGTTCAAGTCTTTGCCTTTTTAAAAAAACTGAACTGTTGTTTATTCATATTGATTTGTAGGAGTTTTTTTTAATGTATTCTGGATAAAAGTCTTCTGTCAGATATAAAATTTTATGAACATCTTTGAAACCGACCAGGACCCTCTGGAGCTCTCCTGGGCACAAAAGTCTTTCTGTGTCCTCTGTTTTTATATTTGCAGGAAAAAGGCTTCTGTCTCCTAGACCAACCTTAGTGAATACCAAAGAGCAGATTCAAACAGTTGCTGATCAGGGAAGTAAGGAGATGCAGAAACAAAGGAGGAACAATCAAAAAACTATAGTGCAGGATCCTGGTTCCTCCTCAAGGGATATACGTGTAACAATACCCTTGAGTTCTGCAGGAACTAAGGTCCCCACCCAGGTAGAGGATGATAACTTCAGGCTGAGCTGCAAGATTATTGGAGCACCGCCCTGTTACCTCACCACCAACCAATCAGAAGAAAGTCTCACACCCTGCAGCCCTCACCCCCAATTTTGCCTGTATAAGTTTTTCCCCCCAGACCAGGGGAGTTCAGGGTTTTGGAGCTCGAGCCACACATTCTCCTTGTATGGCCCTGCAATAAACCTTTCTCTGCTCCAAACTCCAATGTTTTGGTTTGTCTGGCCTCACTGTGCATTGGGCACACCAACTTGTGAATTTGTGTTTGGTAACATTTTCTCCCAGTCTGTGGCTTTCCTTTTTGCACTTTTAGTAGTGTCTTTTGATGAAGTTCTTAATTATAATTAGATCCAATTTATCAATTTTTTTCCTTTATAGTGAGTGCCTTTTGCATCTGTTCAAGAAATCTTCCCCTACCTATGAGTTTACTCTTAATTTTTAAAAGTCAGCATTGATCACCACATTCATTGACTTATGGAATCTCTCACTAGTATTTTTGGCTAATAAGCTTTGTTGATAAACAGTGTGGGCTCAGTAGTTGTGGTTCACGGGCTCTAGAGCACAGGCTCAGTAGCTGTGGTGCACGGG